AATTGTATTACGTATTAGTAATTTTTTGTTTAAAATATTTTTTATAAGAAAAAATTGGTATTTTTTACTTTTAAGTATTTTTCTCAAATTTTATATAGGAAGTATACAAATATGCATATCAGAAGAAAGGGGGTTTAATCGCCTTTATAACGGTAGCAAATTTTAAAAAATTTGCTAGTATCTTTTTTGTTTAAAATATTTTTTTTTTATAAAAAAAAAGGTATTTTTTTCATTTAAATGTGTTTTTTCTAAAAATTTTATATACAAAGTGTACAAATATGCATATCGGAAGAAAGGGGGTTCAGTCGCCTTTACAATGGTATAAACATCAGTTCAAAACTGTTTGCACTATAAGGAACTTAATTTTTCGAAGACCTGAACTTTGACCCCTTATAGCACCTGTAATATAAGTTTGCACAAAAAAAGTTATATAACATTTAAATGAGAGCAAATAGGGGACTACGTCTATATTTTTAGGTTTTTAGTTATTTACATGTAATAATTAAATATAATTTTTTACCAAAGGTCCTATTTCGAACTTCGAAGGCCCATATCTCGATTTCGGAGGCCAACTTCGAAAAAACGGAGAAATTACCGTTTTACCTATGACTCCATCTCTTAAAAAAAAATTGGTTTGGTCCAATACCCAGAAAAAAAGTTGATTTTGCCGTACAGTGTTATCATTGAGATAAATATTTTTAAATCTTAAAGGCTTTTATTATAAGACTTATATTATAAAAGTCTTTTCATAACAATTATGAGCGCGAAAACATTTTTTAAGTCTTAAAAGACGGAACTTGTTCAGGAGGATTTCAGAATTAGTTGGAGCCCAGTTCGGGACTAGTTGGGGTCCAGTTTGGGCTTGATTTGGGACCCGTTCGGGACTATATACAAAATTTTTTCGCACTAATAATTATTATCAAAAGGCTTTTATAATATAAATCTCATAATAAAAGTCTTTGAAGACTTAAAAATATTTACCTATCTCAATGATAATTATTATGACAAAACATTTATAAAATAAATCTCAAAATAAAAGTCTTTGAAGGCTTAAAAATATTTATCGCGCTGATAATTATTACGAAAATATAAGTCTTAAAATAATAGTTATCGATGACTTAAAAAAATTTTTTCACACATTATTATTATCAAAAGACTTTTATAATTCTTACTAAAATTTTGATGACTTTTTTAAAAGTCCACCATGAAATAATAATTATTCTGGGTCTCTGCTTCCTAACCGTAAAATTAATAGCGAACATTTTAAAACAGGAATGATAGAAATCGGGTAAGATTTAAACGGAAGGCACATTGTGCGCCGGTGGATAATCTGTTGAAATAAGACAGACACCCCTCTGCTATAATTCCAATTTTCTTAGTTACGAACTGCTAGCTCCGCTCCACAAAATTTAAAAGTTGTAAGCTGTAATCCAGTGTTGCCGTTGAGAATTTTCAGAAAGTCGCAAAAAATGGGTCATTGACGTAAAAAAGGGTCACCATATTATTTTTGCTTTTCTTGACTAGTAAAAGAATTAATCTGTTGATTTTAAAAAGAAAATAGTTGCACACGCCTTGCACAAAACAGGGTTGCAAACATACACATAAATCTAGTTGCTGCAAGGAGAGAGTTGCATCTCCCTTAAAAGTTTTAAGTGATGCATTTTTTCGTACTTACAGGAGGGAATATTTTTTAGTAGCATGATTCTAGCATGTTGATGATTTTAAAAAGAAAATAGCGGCACACGCTTTGCACAAAACAGGGTTGCAAACATACAAATAAATCTAGTTGCTGCAAGGAGAGAGTTGCATCTCCCTCAAAAGTTTTAAGTGATGCATTTTTTCGTACTTACAGGAGGAAATATTTTTAGTAGCATGATTCTGTTAACATTTCCTAAAAAAATCTCTGAAAAGGGGCAAAAGTCGCACATAATTTTGGAAAATTGTAAAAAAATCAAAACTTTCAAAAAGTCGGGTCAAAGGTTATTGCCGCCTAAAAAGGGTCAAATTGCCCCTTTAGTCGCACAACGGCAACACTGCTGTAATCCATTCGTAACATCCACCATCTTGCAAACCAAAAATTGGAAATTCGAAGTTTTTAATCGGCTCTTTTGACAGAAACAAACATACAAATATTAATGCAAGTGACCAGCGAAATTTAAAATCAGCGTTTATGAGCCATTTATAAAGAATGGTTTTAAATTAATTAGGGAATATGCAAAGTAGATTGTTAGAGATGTTACGGTACTACTCCATTTTCTCTGTATGTTAAAATGTGAGTTGTGTAATTTATTTAACTGATACATATATTAATGTACTTGAACAAAGGTTTAAACGTTTAAAGATGTGTTCCTTCAAAAGCTGAAGAAAGTTATTAACATGGTATTGCCGTTGGCGCTTTTTTCAATACTTAAATTATATTATTTTAGTTAGGAAAATCAAATTGCGTTATATTTCAGGTGTCAGGCGGTCGCAGAGAAAATTTCTTTAGTTTCTTTAGTACGCGATGTCTTAAAAGAAACTTATTTTTTGGTAGTTTTTTTTCTTTTGAAATAAATTGTAGAAATATTTAAGCAAGCTAAGGAAGAACAATTTTACATTTACTGATTGCTTAAATGTAAGCAAAACGGCAACGCTGATCGCAATGGGCTAGCTCTACGCCTAAGTGTAGGGGGATACACTCTATCTATCTATCTATCTACCCCCACTTAACTTAATAGGCAGGCCTGACGAGATGGCGAGGTAGGGTGTCGGGGGAGTCTTCCCCCGGGGGCCCAAGATATTTCCAAAAATGAGGTTGGATGACAAAAAGATTTTGCTAAGTTAATAAATTTGATAAACAAGCTTAAAAAATAATCATTTTTGAGAGGGAGGAACGCCTGATACATATTTAGTACCGGACCCAGATTTTATCTTGGCCACCCTGCTAACAGGTAATTGACGGTGAGTTTGTCTCTAAAGTCGACGCTCGACAACTATGATAACAAAGTTAAATAATGCCACAATAGATATGTACTTAGTTTACGCAGAGGTAAGCCAAGTTTCTCAACATTGCTTTTACCGTTTGTACGACATTCGGGTCTACGTAACTGGAGAATCCAAAATTTATATTTCACCATGCCACTTTTAATGCTGTAACAACAACACTGGCAACAACAACAATAACATTTCTTCAAGTATATGAATCTCTGGAGCAGTCCTACATTTGCTCTGGTAAAACTCATGGAGAATGGTGCTCCACAACGAAAGTTGTGCTCGTTTTCCAAACGATTTACAACAACTGGTATAACATTTGGCCAGGCCTTACGACAGCTAAAATGGGGTGAAAAAATAAATTTTTCAATGAGGACAGAATGGAATAATTTCGAAGTTCAGTCGAACGGTTCGAATTTCATGAGCTCAACTGGACATACAGTTTGGATAACTTAAGAACTGTGCACAAAATGTTTGGTAACTTAAAGTATGTAAAAACATTTTTGCGACTTTAAAAAAATTGCACACAAACTTTTTGTTATTATTTGGCACTGTAACCGCCTAAGGGATTTTTGGCCGATTTCAACAAAGCACGCCAGTCGTTTCTCTTCTGTGCCAACTGAAGCCAATTGAAAATGCAAAGTCCTTCTCCACTTGCTCTCTCCAAGGCAGTGGGGGAGTCCCTCTTCTGCTACCACCAGCGGATTCCGATGACGTGGCCAAGCGTATTTAATTGTCTTGTTAAACACTAGTCCAATTTTGGACATAAATACGTACATATGTTTTTTATAATTTAAAAACTGCACATAACTTTTTGGTAGATGATAAATTGGACGTACATTTTTGGTAACTTAAAAACCGGGCACACATACATTTTTGTCATATGAAAACTGTACTTAGACTTTTGGAAAATTAAAAATTATATACACTAGGATCCAATTCAAAACTTAAAACCAATTTAGAAATTAAAAAAAAGGAGATAAATTATTGGAAATTTAAAAACGTTATTAATTTGGGTCTATATAAATCTGATAGATTTTCATTTTTCTCTCAAGCTTCCATTTAATAAATGATTTTTTATCTTCAAAGCTTGCATATCTATATCTTCAAAATTTTAAAAATCCTTCGAATTTGTTTTTAAATTTTACATATAGTAAATGAACTCCGCTGGTGCAGTATTGCACATTTCGAAAATTTCCTACTGATTTGCGTTTTGTACCCTATATTATGCTATAAATTTCCTTAAAAAACATTTCTGATTTCTAGTCTCATTAATCGAGGGGTGAGAGCTATGTACCGTTATTCAGCTTCATTAATTTTAACTGATTTTTTCTTCTTTTTTTTCTGAAGACATTCCCAAATATGTGTTAGTATACGATTAGTTTATATAGTCTACATACACATGTAATTACATATAGATTGACAAATATATACAAACATGAGATGGTGTTATGTTGTAATCAGTGGTATAGCCGTCATTGTATGATACTGCATCGGGAACGGTACTGCCAGCGAACTGATATTGCGGTGCCGGTTTTGGGGACAATGTTGGTGTCGGTGTGTGATGTGGTGTTAGCTTCACATCCTCGACAAAAGCCGAGCTGGCCGAACCGGTTTCGAGTGCTGCCTCCCAGGGTGTCTTGATCACTTTCAAGCCAGGCTTGACGTATTTTTCTAGCACCTGCTCCTGGTGCAAATTCAATTGAACACGATGCTTTCCGGCATCGGAGTAAGCAGGCAAAATGCTCGGCGATGTAGGCGGTTTCACTTGCTGGTGTTGATGATAATCTGGAAGACCGGATGGGCTTTGAGTGCCTGTGTTAGTTTCATCAACCACCCATTTCTCAGATTTCCTGCGGCGTTTGGCAAAAAGCTCAGCACCTTTCGCAGTTTGGATAAAAGTTTGGTTGGTTGCGTTGCATTTTTGTGCCGCACGGATTTCACACGAGGTTCAGGGCAGCGCAGCGCACATTGCAGCGGTATGCATATAAGCGGGCGCATGAAGCATGAAGCGGCGGCGTTAGGAAGCGTTGACGGATGATTATATTAACGCGATGGTTATTTTTGTATAGAAATTGAAAATGACCTCGATTAATGATTGAAAAAGTAAATAGAATAATTGCATATAAAATAATTTCCGTGCTGCTAAGCCAAATTCATATAAAAAAGAAAAATGTTTTCAAATAAAAATTTCAACGGAAATATAATTTTCTAAACCATTTGGCATCTTTCATTTTTACTGTTCTTTTTATAAGAAGTAGGCTGGCGACATGTGTATTTAATGTATACACACACAAATGTTCAAAAAAACTAGGAAATAAATTTAAATATATCTATTTGTATGTGGATCCGATTAAAGGTTCCTAAACACACATATTTGAATGTTAGAAAGTAAAGTGTTGGCCTTTTTGACAATTAAATTTTTCAAAAACTCGACATAATTTTTTGCACCTTAATAATTGGATATTAAATTTTGGTTATTTAAAAACCATACCAATATTTTTCGTAATCTTAAAATTAGATATATCTACATTTTTTGTCATTTAAAAACTGGATATAAATTAATGAACTTCAAACTAGAGTTGTCGAACTATCGATAGTATCAATAGTTTTTTATTTCTATTACCATCGATATTTTTTTATCCACTATCGATAGTTTTTCCCTGCACGGTCAACAATTTGGGTTTAATTTTCAAACCGCGCTGTGACTACTGCCTTTTTTAAACTTTTATAGTCTACTTTTTAAACCAGTCAATAGTTTTACGCAATTTTTAATATATTCTGGTTTAAATTTTAGCCCAAAAAGTTCGTGGTTTAAAAATCAAACCAATATGTTTTAATTCTAGTTTCTAGGTTTCAAATATAGAAACTTTGGTTTAAAATCTAAACCGAAATAGAATATGTTTGCACAGCGGATTGTGGTGTTGATTCAAACTCAACATATGAAAGCACATTTACATGCGTGGCTGTAGCTGAGTGTGCAAAGATGCTTGATACAATTGGTTGCAACCAAGGCTGTCCGGGTTCAATCCCAACCAGACGGAGCATGAAATTTAAGATTGTTTTTTTTTTTGTTTTTATTCTTAATTATGAAAATGTTTGGGTTTAACATTCAAACCGAATTGTTTAAATTCTAAACCCAACATATGTGCTCTCTTTTTTATAAACTTGGAAGGTTTGTATTTGAAACTGAATTTAGTTTGGCCATATATGTAGTCCAAAAAGTTTAAAATTAAAACCGAAATTTTTAACCGTGTGCTGACCATGTTACGCATTTCCCAGTATACAAAGTATATATGTTAGAAAATTTTGTATGTATTCTAGTTAAAATGCTTGATTAAACAGTTGATTTTGCTAATTTTTATACAAAGATTTGAGTCTAAATTTTTTAAAAATATATGAACATTAAACAAACAAAAGAAAAATTCGTGTGTTCCATATTCAACATACTTGCACAATTGTAGCATTTAAAGTTTTTGTAGCCCACCATACCGTAAATGCAGCCCTGTTTTAAGAACGAGGCGTAAGTAAAACGAAATAAGTAACTACTAGAAAAGTGCTGTTTTTAATTCTCTCGCCTTTTCACTTTATTGCTTTGCAGTATGTGAAAATTCAATTTTTTTTCTTTTGTATAGCTGATTGAGTAAGAATCAAATAAATTTTGTCTAACCTTAAGCCTTGCCTTTTGCTTATACATTTTTTGGCGCCCGAGCAGGGACGTACATACCCTGCAGTAAATCGCGCTAGCTTAGAACTAGCTCTTTAAGAGGCGGTACTGGTTCTCGATCTATTCCAACGCAATACTCTTACCTGTATCTTTTTACATGGCGATGTCCTACGAAGTGGAAATAGCCCCCCTCTGCAGAACTTTGAAATTAGTTTTGAACTGGTTCCATTTAGGACAGTTCTGGGGCAATAAGTCTCTGCGACAAGTTTTTTATTAAAAAAAATTCTGATCATTAGATTTTTTGATATTTTCTCGTTTTTTCTGTTCTTTACTAGTTGCATTTTATACAATTTTTATTCATTCTTTTATTTTATTTATATTAAATTTTATAATTTTCTTTTCAATTTTTAAGCGGCACTCAACAGTTAAAATTTTTTAAATTTGAAAGTGACAACTGCCTCCACCGCGATTTGAACTCGCGACCAACGATGTTAGAGTCGGAGGTCTTCCCGCTGAGCTATTTTCGTATTGTACGAGGAGTGCGAATTTGTGCATTAACGTCTCAACTGAGCGCAACTAGCACACCGAAAGTTTTAACTGTCCCTCTCTGCCTCTGTCATATTATGTTGGTCTCCTTGCCGTGGGGACAGAGCTTAAGTGGTGACGCTTAGGGGTGGGGGCCCTTAGGGGCTTCCATATCAGCATGAACTAAAAGAGAGGCTTCGTATGGGAACCTGTGTAAGACACGAGCTTACACAGTTTCCTTAGTGGAGATTACCGTACCAATATACCCAGGGCGATTCCGCGTTTGCTGGGCTACGGGTGTCACAATCCCGGGTACCCCAGTCAAAGGCTACCAATCCTAAATCGGTTGGAGCCTCAATTGGTAGAAATGTCTACGGCTTTCGAGTTCTTACCAGAGACTTAAACCTGGATCCGCGGGGAACAGATGCCCCTGGAGTGTGTTCGTTGGCTAGATAAGCAAAGCTAGTGAGACGAACCAGGCTGAAAGACAAGCTAGATGCACATGTAAGATTGTACAGCTGGTGAGATTCGCAAGGAAGGAGATGTGGCTCGTCAAGCATTTTGAACGGGTTTAGAAAACCGGAAAAGAGCAATAACTCATGCCCAATAAGGCTAGTAAGACCTGCGAGATTAGCGAGACGAGCAGAATGAATGAGGTAAGTTAAGCGACTCTAACAAGGATTGAAAGTGGATTGTAACCCCAGGCTTGAACACCTGGGGTGAACTGAGATCAGTAAGTCTTGTGAGAGGAGCGGGACAAGCAAAATGATAATGGAGGTTGTTTATGGGTAGCAACATGGTGATGTGGCTCGTCAAGCAACTCAAGCGGGTGTAGAAAACCGGAAAAGGAGTAATACTGCATGCCTTCACACCCCAGGCTGCAGTTTACTCCCCAGTAAGGCTAGTTAGACCTGCGAGATTAACGAGACGAGCAGAATGAATGGAAGTTGTTTATGGTAGCAACATGGTGAAGCTGTTCTTCGGTTAGGGAGACAGTGTTGGAGGTTGATGAAGAACGGCAGAGATTTTAGATAGGTTTCGGCTTTACCAAGGTGGTAAGTGTGTCCGCCCCACACTGCCTTTGGGACTGAAATGCTTGCATTTCAGGGCAATAATTATGGCATAAATTAATCCGTTAAGCCTTTGAGCTTCGTAGAGCTCGGACTGCATTTATTGCTTTAGGTGCCCACGTTAAACCTAAACTACAGATGTCCCTCTCTGCATCCGTTTTGCACTAGTTCAGAGATAGTTCCGAAATATGTAGTGCGGAACAGACTGTCTCTAAATTTTACTACAGGGTACATATGTATGTATGTGGGGCACCTTACTGTTAGTAAAGAGTTAAGTTTTCTAAAGTGGGCCAACCAAAGTTGATTTTTCGATTTTTTTATATACCCTTGGCCCATTTTGAAAGTTAGCATGGTGTACACTATTGGCGCCAAAGATTTTACGCTAGTTTTATTTTTTTGACGAGTTATTTGCAAAAAAATTTTTATGGAGGCTTTTACACATTTTGAAATATTTCAGCAAGCATTTATTCGAATCTTATGATTTTTCGACAGCAATTAGAGAACTTATTGGGTAATAAAATAAAGTAGTCAGTTTGTAGGATTTTCAGTCCTGTTTTATTAAAATTTGTATTTTTTTAATCAATTGAACTTTTTACCATCTTCTCATATACCTATGAAAAAAATCAAAAAGCATTATTTGCGCTAAAAATTCAATTGTACTTTAATAAAAAAAAATAATGTACCTATGATTGACTTAAAGCTTTCTACCAAAACAAATTAACCAAGTTTAAAAAAATATAATACAAATGAACTGAAAAGCAAAAAAAAATTAAAACCTAAGTATCAAATCAATAATTATCAAATTATATATATATTAAATTTTAAATTTTCAAGACGAAAAAAATTAGTTTTAGTAGGGTCGTATGTCCTCTTTCTATGGTTACAAAATCATCGCATTCCAATTTGTATTTTCAGAGAAAAAAATAAATTTCGTACCATTGTAAAAAAAAAAATTAAATGCTCATAAAAAGTATAAATTTAAAAAACTTTCCAATGAAATTTACGGGGTGTATTTCTGTTAGCAAAAATAGTAAAGCGAATTAATTATACTTGCGCGAGTGACCAAAGTTATAAAGAAAAACAACGTATGTTCAATTCATCGATTTAATCAGGACTAAAAAACTAAATTTGAATGCAACGTGGGCTTTACATTTTGATGTTGATGAACGCAAAAGCTCATATGATTATATAACTTACTCATTCGATACAATATAACGTATTCATTATTTTCATGACAAAAATGTTCTCAGTAGGAAATATTTAAACTTAAAATTACAGCTTATTATTTCAACACTCTTTCTCAAAATATTTCTTTAATAATAATAATAGATTGGCGCTTACACATATGTCAGTGTTTGGCCGAGCTTCTCCTCCGACTTGTGGCGTGCGCCTTGATATTGTCACACAAAGGGACCTACGACCGCTTTTAAGGAAAAACCTTTTTTCTATATTTTTTGTGATGTTGCTTTGACCAGGGTTTGAACCCGGGTGATGCGGAGTGGAAGCGCGCACTGCTTACCACTACACCACAGCGGCCGACATTAATATTTAAGACCAAACATTTCTGCAAACTTTACATGTTTTTGTTTTTGCGGGTTTTTAGTAAAAATATCAGACAC